TGAGGCCTGAATTCATCAATTTTGCAAGTCCTAGTGGGCGCCAGCCAGTTACCACGTGCCAGTTGGTTACATCCGCCCTGCTCGTGAAAATCAGAAATATTTGTGAGCCTTCTAGGCTCTTCCAAGAAGGCTGGGGAAGCAGGGAACACCGCACGTTTGCGCCTTGGTGGCTGGGCCTGGGCGCAGACCCTGTGGCCCGACGGAAAGGTACTGGGCGCACAGCCTGTGGCCCGGCGTCTGACTGGGCCTGGGCGCAAACCCTGTGGCCCGACGCGAAGGTACTGGGCGCACGGTCGCCAGGCCCAGGCAGCTAGCACAGGCACGCACTTTCCATAGCTGGAGCAATTGCTGGAGCACTGCTGGAAAGTGTCTGCCTGCCACTCACTCGTTCGGGTACTTGGACAGCACTGCTGGAGCAATTGCCCGTGCACGGCATGCTGGCGCAGGTGCCGGAGGTACTGAGCGTGGTCGCTGGGAGCAGTGCGCTGCAAGCAGGCAGCGCAATAGCTCAGCCCTCCATAGCCGGGCTGAGCTTGGACAGGCAGCGGGGGTGGTGGTGGTCTTCAAGATTATTGAGCAGAAGAGTGGGAAATGAGGCGGTGATGTGAGGGCATGACCTGGTCTTGGCGGACGTCTACATGGTCGACATATGCATATACTTCTGTTGCTGCTGCTGACATCAGCTGGTTGCTTTGTCGTTAGGATAGGCTGGCATAGTAGCTGTGAGATCGTAGGCTGGGTGGAAGAGCTTCGAGGACATTGTTGGTGGTGGCGAGTGCATGCTTTCTTTGACAATTGGGATCGTTGCTTTGGTTCTCCTTTAGTTGTGATATCAGTGCATTTCTGCTTTCTGGACAGCTTTCGACTATCTGGCTTTCAATGTGATTTCTCTATCTGGAATTCTGTCATTTCCTGAGTGGGGATCCGGGCCGCCCGGGTGACCAGCAGGGGCCCGGGGGAGGTCCCGGGCGGCCTGGCCGGGCAGGGCACCCGGTTGGGGGCCGGCCCCCCCCAGCGCAGTCACCTGTCGGGAGATTTCGGACCCCCTTTGTGTGTGTGTGTGTGTGTGTGTGTGTGTGTGTGTGTGTGTGTGTGTGTGTGTGTGAGAGAGAGAGAGAGAGAGAGATGTGTTCGAATCATACTTGCAGTGCATCTCATGCACGGGGTGCCGCACGCACATGCACGCACGAACAAGTGATGCGGCGCATTAAAAAAATAGAAAAGCAAAAATGTCCTCATTGTGTCCAGCCTCTTTTCGGAAGGATCCCTACAGCATATTAGCCAGGACCCGATGTCAAAGTAGAGATACACTTCAAACTTGTACTTCCTGAGGGTGGGCAGAGAATATATAGTCTGGAATCGAATTCAGGTTTGTGCATGTCAGTTATGGGCCACCATTTCTCTGTTTTCTCGCTTTTCTTTTCTTTTGTTGTTTTTCATTCACCGTTTCTCTGTTTTCTCGCTTTTCTTTTCTTTTGTTGTTTTTCATTCACCATTTCTCTGTTTTCTCGCTTTTCTTTTCTTTTGTTGTTTTTCTTTTCTTAGGAGTACGTGCAGTGGCCCTAAGGGCCTTTACTCACCAAATGCAAAAAAGACAAAACATATGGTGGCGTATTATTCCACGTTTTGCAGAAGATTCATTCTAATTTTGCACATTTCGTGAGTAGTGCAGCCAAGCCCTAAGAGTCACGTGCAGAGACCAACAGGCCCTAGCTACGTGAGCAACCCATAACTGCTGAAACACAGACCTGAATTCGAATCTTGAGTATATTGCTGGCTGCATCGAGCATGGAACGCCATCCGGAAAAATTCTCGATCAGACTCTCAATATGGGCGTTGTTCTCTCTCTTTCGGACAAACGGTCCTGGTTTACGACCACTCAAGATGGGCACTCTCCCTTGCGCATGCGTAACGGCCATTAGGACGATTCTGATGAGAGAGCAAAATAAAGCACACGAAGAACAAGGAAAGAACGCCTAGCTGGAGCGGCAATTGAATTGGACTAGAGGGTAACAATGCACTGCATTTCAGAAAAAAACAAGTACAGAGAGGTCGGATTTAACTAGAAGGTCCGGTTGGAAATCGTGAGATCCATTCTTGTCTATGCTAACACAGATCCTTCATGAACAAATAAATCAGATACAAAAAATTGACTAACTGACGCAATGGAGATTCGAGGGGTGTAGACGGTCGCGAGCCAGACGACGGACCGAGTGAAATATTTGCATATAAACTCCGTCAAGATCCATCCGAAAGTGAGTGTGTCAAAAGATTGTATGTTCCCCAGCTCCAACAGAAACAGAGAAGCCTATTGGAGAAACAAACAGAGTTGGCATCAAAGGGGCTCCACAAAGGGCTCCATCTCATGGGACTGAGTCCCACTGGGTACCAAAAGGTCCTAGGTAGGTCGGTGATCAAGTCCCACCAAAAGGAGTCACACGTTGGTTCCTAATCTGTACCTGAACTGCTGCAAAAAGAAAGACGTCCAAAGGAACGTACTCAACTACAGCCATCCAGAATTAAGCGACAACCCACTCTCAAATGTCCTCTTGACCCAAATAGCCACATGGACTCCAGTGTCCTAGCTACCTAGGACGACTTACCTACACCAATGTACAACACCGGATCCACCATCGACGTTGAAGATCAACGGTACCATGCATTCCTTGGATGCAGCCAAGACTACTCCCATCCAGCCCTCTTTGTAGGGAGCCTAAAAGTCACTCGATGTCTTGAAGCTTGGATTCCAGTCTGAGTGCCCCTCACTCTCTACCCTTTACCAATCACCTAACTGAGTCACCCCAAGTGCCTCGCTAGTTATCCACACACAAACAGAGTGGTCGGGTCATATGTTGACCCAGCTTGACCTTGACCTGGTCGGGACGGCTCCCACTTACCTCACTGCCCACTTGCCCTAGCTACAAACCCCGAACTAGATTAGCCCTAAACAACCCGAATTAGGTTTAGGGTGATAGATCTCGTCTCACCGGCAAGTAAGTTCCTTTGCCATACCAAATCTTATGATCCTGGTTATTCCGAAGTGCAATATCACAAGAAAAGAGAAGTTGTTCGATTGCAAATGAAATGAAAGAACTTGTGAGAGATAGGGAAGAAGACGATATAAGAAAGAAAGAAGAAAACGAAGAAGATGTACATCAGTGAAAGGCATACCACGATGCAGACCCTACATCCGAATTCCAGGGTCGAGGTCTCAGGCCAAGGGAGGCCAAGTCGGTCAGTTTCAGAAAAGTCACAGCCAGGTATCTTAGGAGTGCAACAGGCACTCGGTAAACAGTCACTTCCCGAAGGCAAAAGTTGCATTTTGTAAGCAAAACTCATGTCTCATACTGAAAAGTCATGTCCCACAGGCAAAGGACACTTCTCTAGGCAAAAGTCGTGTCCCAGAGGCAAGAGGCACATCCCACTGTCAAAAGTCATGTTCCACAGATGAAAAGTCGTGACTCGCGGACTCAAGCAACAACACCAATGACAATTTGGGAAAAGTACCAGGTTTGACATTCTGAAGCAAGCAGGCCGCAGGAATGTGGTACCGGGTCCAAGTCAAGCCAAAGGAAGCAGAGGCAGGGATGAGTTGAGGCTCAGTCCAAGTCAATATAAGGACTGGCCAGCCACATTTCAGGGGAGATTACTCATTCATGAACTTTTGATATAAGTCAGGTACAACATTATCAAGATAATTTTTTTTAAGTCTTTGAATCATATTGATTTTTGTTTTCCAAAACATATTTTCTTATTAATTAATTAAAACTCAAGTGTGGAAGTGCTGCTGAAGCGCATGTGCGCTATCTGTGAGTGGCATGCACACGAGAGCTCTGCTCGGCAGCGCTGCGCTGAGAGGGAATGTGGCCATAGGCGCACAAGTTAGTAGTAGGGATAGAGCTGAGTAGCAACTGATGTATTCTGAGTCAAGATTCTCAAGTAGGGAGAGAGAGAGAGAGAGAGAGAGAGAGAGAGAGAGAGAGAGAGAGAGAGAGAGAGAGAGAGAGAGAGAGCACATGCATGAAGAAGACTAGGAGGGATAGAGAGAGAGAGAGACGACAGGGAGAGAGAAAGAGAGTCACCTACCGTAGTTGAGGATGCTGGTATTGGGTTGCTGAATTCTGCGTTGGTGAGTGCGTGGTGACGAGATCTCCGAAACTGTTTAATGTGATAATTTGTTCGAATTTCTAAGCTGCGCATATGTGGGCTTCGCATCTCTGGACTCCAGTGTGGATTTTGTGTAATCTCTCAATGTGTGTATGTGCTCAAGGTGTTGAGCAGTGAGGGTCAATGTGATTGGTATCGAATCTGGTAACTCGATGGATCCGCTGCTGATGAACGTTGGCATGATTAAGGCCGGCGAGTGGAGATTGGGAGTTTGACATAGGGTTGTAGGCCAAAGAAGAACCGACTAGTATTGGGGGATGGTGATTACGTACCTTCAGGCAAGGAGCGTTGAGGAGCTTCATCGAAGGAACGTTCACAAATGAAGTGCATCGCCCCGTAAGCCCTGTATTTGCTTTAATGAATGAACGAGTGCCTTGGTACCTTCCCACATCTTGGTGTCGCTGCTGCTGGACAGAACACTTGGTGACAATCTGATTTTGTCTTGAGTCAGCATCTGGTCAGACATGTGTATGAAATAGGTCGTGTCAGGGCTAGAAGCTCGACAACTGGATGTATCACCTGTAAAGTAGGAAGTATGTGCATGAGCGGCGAGGGCTCATAAAACAACTCGTCTAGGCCTAAGATCGGTATTGACCGGTATGCAAGTGAACTGGAGCTAACAAAGTGAGGAGCTATAAGTCTTGAGAGTTGAACCTTCAGATTCTGGTGGGCATGACATCCTGTCTGTGTTGTTAAATAATTCCTGCGGTCCTTGCTGGTTGCCCACCAACCTGACAGAGTAGTTGTAGTGACACGGTGGGGGGTAGAACTAAGGGTAGACTCCAATGTAGATTAGGCAGGTTATAGTGTTGAGGGTGAGGTCTACGTTGTGAGGAGGTGGAAGCTACATACCTGTGCCTTAGTAACCATGGATGACTACCCAATGTTCGCTATGTTGACCCTATCCGTGCTATGGGGTCCACTCCTCCGTTTCTTGTTTCCTCGAGGATTCCACCGGACATGCGACATGAGTGTAACCATGACATCTGGTGGGACAACGCAGCCATATACAACACATCAACAGGCAGAAATTAATCGAAAGATGGTTGAGAAGAAGAAAGAGGAGAAAAAGAGAAAGGAGGAGGAGGAAGTTAAGAAGAAACTCGAGGAGGAGAAGGAGAAAATGGAGAAAGAGACGAAGAAGAAAGAAGAAGAATTGGAGGAGGAGCTAGAAGTTAAAGAAAAAGAGGAAGTAGGAGGAGGAGGAGGAGGAGGAGGATTGGTGAGGAGACGAGCCCAACCAGAAGGAGAGGAGGTGGCGGAGAGCAGCCATGCTGTAAAGTTGAGACTCCAACAGGTTGAGGACTTGGACTGGGTGGAGAAATTTGGGTACGAAACAGAGCTTATAGAAGAACATGATGATATGGGATCGTTTTATAGCGAAGTTGGCAGCAACATGGATCAAGAGGTAAGGAAGTTGATTGAGGAGAAAAAATGGGAACTCAATTAAAAGTTGTTGGCCGCAAGAAGGAAAGAATTTGAGGAGATGAAAAAACAAGGAGGAAGGGGAGCGACTCCAGACGTTGTTGAAAGAGCAGAAAGGGAAACAAGTAGAAACAAAGGAACGTTGGAATCTTATGGCGGACACTTCACTGCACACCACCCAGGAACTCGTTGCACTTCAACGAGCCATGTGAAAGGTAGAACATTACCAGGAGTTAAGGGCATCTGGAATTACCATAGTGCGTCATCCAACCAAGTGGATCATAGGGTTCTACAGTATGCACGCCAGTCGGACGATATCTTTACTTAGCAACTGACTAACACCATCGTTTCAGTTAAGAAAGGTGGCGGTGGCAGGGGTGGAGATGGTGGCGATGATGGGGATGGCGACAAGAAAGGAAAGGGTCCCAAAAAGGGTGATGGGAGGAAGGAAGGAGATAAGTTTGAAGGAGGAGAACGAAGGGAGAAGATAAAGGTAAAACTCCCTTGGACATACACTAGGAAGCAGGAGGAGAGCATTTTTCATTGGGAGGCGACAATCACTTGTATGCACAGTTGATTCCATGTTCGGACCGCGTACTTATGGCGAGTTCGTGTCTATGGGGAGATCTGGCAAGCTTCGCAGTTTCGTTGGTGGAGGCAGGTTGTACCTCGATGGTGCAATACTCATAACGCACTAGGATAGAGGACTTTTCAAGGGCCTTGAAAGACCGCTAAAGATAAGAACTTAGCCCGCTGTACTGAGTCCCTCAGTGACTGCAAGTGGAAAAGTGCGCCGATACTCAAGGCCACTATGGACGAGCTGCTACAATGTTCGGAACACGGACTGACCCCCACTCGGATCCTAAACAATTTCGCTAGAGCGCTTCCTGAGCCCCTTAAGACCCAATTACGAACGAAAAGTTTAGTAAGATCGCTGTAGACCATGCCGACTTCCTGCAAGAGGCTAACTATCGCCACACTGGAGGATCTGCAAGCCGGTAAGAGGTGGAAGAATAGGACTGTATTCGACAGTATAGAGGGGAAGGATAATCTATTGGTCACCTTTGAGGAAGGAGGTGTAGAGTCGTTACCATACAACCAACTAGATTATCGTCTAGAAGAAGAGAACAACAACGAAGTAGCCCAAGGAGGGGGCAACAAGGTAGAGGTCGAGGTAGAGGAGGCCGAGGTCGAGTATGAGGACCTGGTGGCTAGAGGGGTGGTGGCGAAGGTTGCTACTACGTGGGAGGTACGGGTTATGGTCCCTCACAAGGTGGTAGAAGTTCTCCTTTCACAGGGGGTAGAGGTAGAGGTAGGACTTGGCGGCTGTACCCAAAGTACGTGGGAATAGCTGAAGGGAAACCTTTGGTGGAGATGGGAATAAATGAAAAGGTATGGGATGATTGTCACAAGGCCAGGCAATTTTTCAAGTGTAATGACCCCGATTACATTGTTCCTTTTTGTCTCGAATATAGACACCCAAAAAGGAACAGCCAGTAGAGGTTGCAGTCGCCTCTACGGGGACTTCAGACTTACACAGGAGAATAGAAGCGCGCGTTGAGAAGGCACACTCATGTTCGAAGATCTGACGGGCAGAGATTGTTATAGGCCCCCACCTAGCAACCTGTCAAGAGGTTGCTTGTGCTAGGACCTCTCTAGGTGACTCTCTCACAAGCATTGGTGATGAGCTGATCACTCGTCACCACAGTTGGGCCGAAATGAAGAAGAAGTCGAAGGGGCAGCTAATAATAGCAGATGTAGAAGTGAGTAGAGAAAGGATAGGCACATTAATACACAGTGGGTCGACGAACAATTATATTAGTAAAAGAGGGTTGCACCTAGGAATGCAAGGTGAAAAAGCTCGATGAGCTGGTCATTAGTAAATTGGCCGATAATAGAGAGAGCATAGTATGCGAGTATGTTGAAGGGGTCAAGGCATACTTTGGGTTAGAGGCAGGGGGCAAAGTAGAGAAAGTTTTGCACTCCTTGGCACTCTCAGTGGAGGATAACCTTCCTTTTGACATGATTCTAGGAACTGAGTGGGGCAACGCCACATATGCAGATATCAAGATGGGCGAGCACGAGTGTTGGCTGCCTAGTCCCACAGGTGGGAAGAAGAAGTTGCATATGTTTCATACATCCGACGTAGAAAGTAGTTTGTCCCTTTGTTGTATGAGTGCCCTCACGTTCGCTAGCCACGCGGTTAAGAATGATCTCTCCGAACAAGTGTTTATTGCTTATGTGAGGCCAGTTAGTGAAGGTAAAAAGGGAGTGTCCCGAACGAACAAAAAAAGTACCTAAAAGACAAGGTAAAAAGGAAGAAGTGCCCATACCGCCCGAAGTGCAAAGTCTGGTAGACGAGTTCGCTGATGTGGGAGAGGCCCCAAGTGGAGTTGTGGAAATGGAGACCAAGCACCAGATAGACATAGAACCCAGTAGCCGGATTCCCAAGGATCCCATCTATCGTATGTCTCCCAGGGAGCTCGATGAATTACGTAGAGAGTTGGGTGAGTTGATAGAGAAAGGGTGGATTAAGCCAAGTTCTTCGCCATATGGTGCACCGATCTTGTTTGTGTCGAAGAAAGAAGGCGATTTGGGAATGTGCATAGATTATGGGGGACTCAATGTGATTACCATTAAGAATGCAGAGCCATTACCGTGGATAGACGACCTTGAAGATAGACTGCAGGGGTACCATCAAATTGAGGTTTTGGCCGAGGATTAACACTAAACAACCTTTAGAACTCGATATACCCCCTACGAGTTTGTGGTCATGCCGTTTGGGTCGAGTAACGCCCTTGCTACATTCGAGCGATGCATGAATGAACTGTTCTGCGATTGGTTAGATAAATTTGTTGTTGTATATTTAGATGACATTCTGATTCTTAGCAAGTCGTTAGAGGACCACCAACAACACTTAACGTTTAGTGCTAAGTAAGTTGCGCAACGCACAATTTAAGTTGAACCAAAAAAAGTGTGAATGGGCCAAGAGTCAGGTTTTGTACTTGGGACATGTGTTAGATGGAGACGGAATTAAGCTGGAAGACACCAAAATAGCAACAATCAGGGATTGATCGACACCTCATACTTTAACGGAACTACGATCGTTCCTTTGTTTGACCAACTATTACCACAAGTTTGTATGGAACTTTATTGTAATATCTGCTCCGTTGCGTAGGCTGTTGAGGAAAGCGACAATTTGGAAATAGAATAAAAGACTATACTTCAGCCTTTAAGCGTCTAAAGAAGTGCTTGATAGAGTACCCGGTTTTGAAGATTGCTGATCCATCCTTGTCGTTTATCGTTACCATTGACGCTAGTCAATACGGGATAGGTGTTGCACTCCATCAGAATGATGGGAATGGGTACAAACCTGTTAGAGTTCATGTCCTGTAGACTACCTAGTGAGAAGGTCGCCGCTTCTGTGTATGAGAGAGCTGTTTGCTCTTAGAGACGCCTAGAATGACACTTCGCTAGCTGAATGACACCTAAGTTGTCGAGGCGGGGTGGGGAGATTGATCAGTCTGATTTCAAACTGAAGCCTGTGAAAGGGAAGTATAACGTTGTCACTGATGTGCTAAGTAGGTGAGCAGATTTCTCCGGTGCCGTTGTAACATATGGATGCGGGCGCTGAATTACAAGAAAATATTAGATCCGCCTACACTAGTGATGCAGTCTATAGTCACTTGATTGACAAGGTGCAAACAACACCACACGAAGTTTCAGATTGTAGAGTGACCCAGGGACTGCTGTTTGAGAAGACAGATATGCACACCACATTGTGCATCCCAAACAGTGAAGAGATTCGCAGTCTAATGCTAGGGGAAAGTCACGATACTAAGGGACATATTGGGAAAACGTATGCGAACCTCCTACGTTCCTACTCGTGGATTGGTATGAAACGTGATTGTATAGCTTATGTACAAGTTCCACGCAGCCTCCCCTTGTTTTAGTTAGACCGCTGCCTATACCATCCGGTCCCGGAGACTCCGTGTCTATAGACTTTACAGACACTAAGGTGAGAAGTAGGAACGGGAAGAGCCGAGTTACGGTGATAGTGGACAAATTTACGAAGTCTGTTGTTTTTGTGCCACTTCATGCTGCAGCCAGGATAGACTTAGTGATTCGGGAATTTTTCAATCATTGGGTAACTACGATCATCCCTTGGCTGTCGTGAGTGATAGGGATACGAGATTCACAGGCGAGCACTGGCATCAACTCATGAATGTTTATGGGTCCAAACTGATTATGTCCTCAGGCAGACATCCGAAGACAAATGGATAGACTGAGCAAATGAACAAAGTGTTG